CTTTTTCAAGAAGGAAATTATCAGCAAAACAGGGTAAGAATTTTCCAAGAACATGTACGACAGACTTGCTTTCCAAATAGATGTTGATATAATTGAAGTCCTCCATCTCTACAATTCCATGACTCTTTGAAGATCTGCTTATTTTTAAAAGTAGCATCTTCATCTTGATTGAATGAGCCTACTAATATCTTTTAATCTAAATATTCTCTATAGATGTGGATATATCCTCCCTTTCTATTTCTCCCGTTCCTTTCAGACAAATTGTACCCTTCAATCATATTCAGTTCAGTCTTGAATATTCCTTCATTTGGCAACTATTGTCATCCCAGCCTCTCAACTGTTACGGACTACTTTTTGTGATATAAAACATTAGAATTGAAAGTTAAAAGTACTTGTTAAATTAAGTTAAAAATCTCTTCCAGTTCAGAAGAATGCTTTAGACCTTAGCAACATTGGTTTTTCTGAAATCCATAAATACTACTAAAATATTTTATATGAGAAAATATCACTTTAAATTTTACTAATTATATTGTTTAGGTTTATCTCTGGTTTGTTCATTTGTGGCAGCAAAAGAAGAAGTGTGGAAATAAAATTAAAATAAGAGCTTCCAAACTCCTTCTGTGGCTTTGCTGAAAGAAATGGGAAAGTGCTAGTATTATTATTTGTTTACAAATATGTAAAGTCACAGTTGCCAGTTCTTAGCTGGTATTGGCATTCATATGCATTGAGTTCTTTCCAAGAACCTAGGATGTCATAATGTATTGGCATAGTATATGTGTGGATCCAAGCAATATGGCCTTTTGCAATTTATTGATGGAAATTTTGTCAATGTGCATATTTTCTAATGCCACCCACAAATTTTTGGTATTGGCACCCTGTGTGTCAATATGGTTCCACCATAGCCAATTTAGGCCATATTCTTTCAATTCATTGCTATTTTCATATTTTTTTTTCTGGGTCCTCATTTTACCAATGGAAGGCTGAGTCAACCTTGAGCTCATCAGTATCAAACTCCAGACTATGGGTAGAGTTTTCCTGCACTACTGGATTCTAATCATTGTGTTACCATGGCTCATACCATTCCCTGGTATTGCCACATCAATTATCACACTTTCTTCTTTTCAATCACAATTAGATCTGAATATTATGAGTCAAGGCTGAATTCAGAAATCCCACAATATTTCAACATTCTCATTTTCAACTAGTTTTCCAATTGTATAATTCCAATTTTTCACTACTGGTGCATGATAATCTTTACAGGTGTTCCAGTGAATCATTTTGCTGACTGAGTTATGTCATTGTTTACAATCAGTCTGTGTAATCTCCTTGCAAGAGCTGAATATATGGTCTACTATTTATTCTCCTTTGCACTACTTGTTCTTTGATTTTGATGGTTCTTCAGTTCTGGCCTTAATCACTTTAGTTTGAATAGCTTGCTCTCCAGCAGCCAAAATCCAGCCTTCAAGGGTTTTTTTGAATTGCTCCAGTTGAAAGCCATTGCCAGGTTTTATCTTTATCCACTTTTCTCTTAGTCCCTTGTAGAAATTGACCTGTAATGCTTGTCCTTATCAACCTTCCAAACATTATTTAGAGGATCATGTTTTATTTTTAACTTGCATCAATACTTGTTCTTGGTTGTCATACCATAGTTTTCACACTATGACACACTTTCTCCCCCTAAAAAAGTGGCTGGAAATGTTTGTGCGTCTTATAGACCAAATGTTGCCGAAGCCCCCACCCTTTGGCCTCTGTTTCCCAGCAATTTGTCTCCTTGCAGCAAACAGCCTGGTCAGCTTCAGCAGAGCCTGATTTAGCATAAGCAGCTGATTGGAGGTTGGATCGGCCTTCCGGACTATCGCTAATCAGCTGCTCCATGCTATGGGGATCGCTGCCATTGCCACTGATCGCCTATCGCCGCCTCCACATGCCCCATTTTCAGCCTCCACGCGCCCCATTTTTGGCCTCCGCATGCCCTGTTTTTGGCCTGCTCCAGGCAGCCGGGATTGCCGCTGATCGCCGCCGCCTGGAACGGGCCGAAAACGGGATGTGTGGAGGCCGAAAATGGGATGTGCAGAGGCCAAAAATGGGGCACACTCAGGATGAAAATGGGGCGTGCAGAGGCGGTGATAGGTGGCGGTGGTGATTGGCGACAGCAGTGATGGGTGGCGGTGATCCCCTGGAACAGCCTGGAACAGCCGATCAGCGGTATTTTGCAAGGCTGATCCAACCGCCAATCAGCTGTTCGTGCTAAAATCAGGCTGTGCTGAAGCTGACCAGGCTGTTTGCTGCAAGGAGGCAAATTGCTGGGAGGCAGTGGCAGATTTTTTTTTTTCTTATTTTCCTCCCCAAAACCTAGGTGCATCTTATGGTCTGGAGCATCTTATAGTGCAAAAAGTATGGTAATCAGCCTGTGCATGTTTTTCTTCTTTGACAGCTTGTTTTGAAATAAATTTCTGCTTCCATTTCTGTGGGCAGGTATAATCTGTCTATATCATTGCAGGGATGTAGTACATAGTGAATAGTCATGGATTTTATTTTTATTTTTCAGTCTAAACTGCCTGATTCAGCTTGTGTATCATCATATCACATGTATGGCCCAGCCATTGATAATTTTGATGGTGTTTCCACCATTCAATTTTACCTTCAGCACTATGCTCAGTGTATAATTATTATTAGCGTCATCCAATACTATTTAATTATTACATAAATTCCATGGTCAATTATTTATTAAAAGAATTTCATGTACTAGGTATTTCAAATAGGCTTATGTAGTATTATATGTAGATGATGCCGTGATTGTATCACTGTTACATATAAGACTAAATAGGTAGAGAATACCAACATCTGCAGCTGAGATGAATTACAAAAAACAAACAAAAAACCAACGATCTTGGTGTTTGCAAAAAGACTCCAAAATCTAAAGTAGATTATTAATAAGTAGAGACTTGAGCAAGTGGCATATTTTAATTATTATTCCGCAATTATGTTCTCTTCAATTGAAAATCTCACTTTTTTATAGACAGAAGGTTGAAAGCTTTTTCTTTCTTTTTTCATTCAAGGGCTGTCATTAAGCTTTTTATAGTCAGACTTCTAGCATAACTCTTTCATTCAGTGTACTGGATTAGGAAATAAGACACCTGTATTTGAGAGTATTTAGGTCCAGGTTTCTGAACAAAACAAAAGTATTTCAAGTGGGTGTGTCTCAGTAGATCACTGCAATTAGGGACTGGCCTAATACAGTTTGAAAAAAAGACCTGGATGCAATAAAAATCCTAATTTTTGTAGAAAACTGAATTTATCACCTCATCATATAGTCTCACTTAATGTTGTATATTCTGAGGAGAGGGGTTGGACCGGGGTGGGATTCTACAGGTTCTCACCTATTTGCTAGAACCGGTTGTTAACTTTCTAAGCAGTTTAGAGCAGGGATCCCCAACCTTTTCGACGCCGCGGCCCGGTTCCGACATCAGCTGGGCGCCGCGGCCCGGTACCGGCGTCAACTGGGCGCCGCCATCTTTTTATGACGAAAAGGCGCTTCCGGTGAACTTTCTACCCGGAAGCGCTTTTTTACCAAAAAAAAGATGGCGGCGCCCAGCAACCAGCGGCCCGGTAAGGGTTGTTCCGCGGACCGGTACCGGTCCGCGGACCGGCGGTTGGGGACCCCTGGTTTAGAGAACCGGTTGTTGGAAGAAATCTCCTTTTGTTTTTTTTTCCATTCTTTTTGCATTCTTGGCAATATGCCTAGACTTACTGTCTCCAAAGGGCTTTTTTTTTTCTTTGCTGGTACTTTCTTAAAGGGGAAGGGTTGTTTTAAACTGTTTACACTGCTGTTGGGAGGAAATGCTCCCCTATTGGAGTTAGCACTTTGAAGAAATAATTGAATAATGAAGCAGAGCTGCCAGAAAGAAGCTTTTAATGACAAGGAACCAAGATGAGTGACATTCACCAAGGCTTCTTGGCTAGCTAGAAAGATTGACATTCAAACGTGAATTTACATACCCTTTATGAGTTTTGGTCTAAAACTGGTGACCATCGAAAGTTACAAATGGCACTGAAAAAAGTGACTTATTACCATTTTTCACACTTAGGAACGTTGCAGCATCCCCACTGTCATGAGAGGCCAGGCACGAAGAAGCGCCCCTTGATGTGAGCGACGTTGAGTTGGCCATGCCTACCCAGTCAGATGATCAGCAATTCACGCCCACCAACTAAGCCACGCCCACAGAACCGGTTGTTTAAAAAATTGAATCCCACCCCTGGGTTTGGACAATATCCAAATGGGAGTTTTCTATCCATTTAGGATAGATATAACTGAGCTGGATAGATAGTGAAACAAAAATTAAAAGATAGGAGTACAAGGGCAGAACCTTTCAGAATATGGTTCTCAAGAATTGGCTGTATCCAGCCCACCTAATTCAAAATATCACAAATTAATGTAGTAGCTCACCAGCTCCTTCAGGATAAATAAGAGTATAGTTACAAACAGGCTTAGAGAGATATTGCCTAAAATACAAGCATAATAGATAGAGGCTACCTTCAAATGATTATTAGCTAATGGACTGCACAGTCCAATATTGATTACATAGAGTGTTCTTCATCTATAACTTTCATTTGATCAGCTAATTTTTAGCAGATTGAGAATTATTATGTCCTTACCCATTAACCAGGGCTAATATATTTCCAGAATCACTTTGTGGTCAGAATCTGAGAAAGAGAACAAAATGAAAATATTTTGAAAGATTTTCAGAAACACACACCCCACAAAAGAGAGAAAATGCCATTAACAAACACAAATCAATTAAACATTATATAAATGGTATAGTACAAATATGCTTCGGTACCATAATGCTTCAGTTGCCCTCAAAATTTCCATTTGAGTTGTGCTTTGGTTGAACTTGAACAAATTGCTTTCAGCTATTTGTCATTGTGCTTTTAAAGCAAGGTTTGTCTTTGCAAAGTATATGCACATATATTGACACACAAACTCTTTTATCTTCTAGGTTGAAATTAGAAGATAGAAAGAATAAATTGGTTAAAAAACTTGAAGAAACTAGTCATCTAACCACCCATTTACATTCCCAGCTTAAAAGGTGAGATAACTTTGTTTATACTAGATTTTTGACAAATGGTAACAGTTTGTCCAAAACTGTTGTTGACATACTGTATTTCTGAATTGTCTATTTTGATTTAAGTGGAATATTAACTTAGAAGTCTGTCTTACAAAAATGTCTTCATACTGAAAGCTTAGTTAGCAATTGTCTAAGTCCTGAACTGCAAAGTAAAGAATATATATGACTGATCTGTTGTAGCCCTTTCCCTATATTATTCACGCTACATCGGTAGAAAATTCAATTCAATTCAATTCAAACCTTTATTGTCAGTGTACAACATGTGTATAATGAGATTGGCCTCCCTTAGTGCACTCTTAGTGTACACACACCCCAATACAATGCAACTCACAGTGAAAGAGAAAATCTCTAACTGAATGAATCCTACTAACAAACACACCAATGTGAACATATTGGACGTCGCACCAGCCCTTTAAGTCAATCATACTTCGTTGTTATGTGATTATTTCGTATTCAGGAAATAATTCTGACAGCCCATGGATAAAAACTGTTCTTCAGCCTGTTGGTGCACCTAGCTATGCTTGTATATCTCCTACCCAATGGTAGAAGAATAAAGAAGTGCTGACCAGGGTGTGAGTCGTCCCTGAGGATTTTTCTTACTCTAAGGCAACAGCCCTAGCGATGTCATCTAGTGGTATCGGGACAGCCCATGATGTTTGTGCTGTGCTCACCACCCTGTGTAATGTCCTTCTATCCGTGGCTGTCAAGCCAGCATACCACACTGTAATGCAATAAGTGAGGGTGCTTTCTATTGTGGACTGGTAAAAGGAGGTCATCAGTTGTTGTTTCACCTTGGCTTTCCGTAAGACCCTGAGGAAGTAGAGTCTCTGTTGGGCCTTCCTGGCCACCTGGATCGTGTTGGTTTTCCAGGTAAGATTGTCACTGAGATGGACTCCAGGAATTTAAATGAGGAGACTCTCTCCAGCCCCTCCTCGATGTAAAGTGGAACAGGTTCCACTTTCTTCTTCTGGAAGTCTAACACTATCTCCTTTGTCTTACTGATGTTCAAGTGCAAGTTGTTTTCTAAGCACCATGTGTATAATTTTTGAATCTCCCCCCTGTACGCTGATTCATCTCACCTGTAATAAGGCCCAATATGGTGATATCATCTGCGAACTTGATGATCACAGTGGATGGGTCAGAAGAGACGCAATCATGTGTGTACAATGAGTATAGGTAGGGACTGAGCACATAGCCCTGAGGAGAGCCAGTGCTAAGCTTCAGGGAGGTGAATATGATAGACCCAACCCTCACTGTTTGTGGCTGGTCCCTCAGAAAGTATTTGATCCAGTCGCAGATAGAAGAGGGAAAATTCAAGTCAGTCAGCTTTTTAATAAGGATGCTCAGCAGGATGGTATTGAAGGCCGAGCTATAGTCCATGAAAAGCAACCTGACACAGTTTCCGGGTTTTTCAAGATGGCTCACTACTGAATGTAAAACAGTAGCTATGGCGTTGTCTGTTGACCTATTCCCCCTGTAGGCAAACTTATGTTTGTCAAAATCTGGTGGGAGGCATGACCTAAGGTAGTGAAGAATGAATCTCTCAAAGCACTTCATCGCTACAGATGCCACAGGTCTGTAGTCACAGGTCTGTAGTCGTTTAGGCAGTTAATTGTTTTCTTTGGGACTGGGATAATAGTGGCTGCTTTCAAGCATGATGAAACACTGGCTGTTTGAAAGGAGATGTTAAAGATCCTTGTCATGACCCCTACTAATTGATCGTACAAGTCTTTACCACTATACCCAGCACCCCATCTGGACCTGCAGCTTTGCTGGGATTCACAAAATTGTGAAACAAATAGGTTGGCTGTTTCTACTATGAGCATCAATCAGTTTTGCACATGGAAACATTGTCACAAAGAAGGGTCATAAAACGAGGCAAAATTCACTTAACAATGGTCTGCTTAGCAACATAAATTTTGGGCTCAATTGTAGTGATAAGTCGAGCACTACCTATATCATTTAGGCAAAAGTGAAAGATATAAATCATGAATTTAAGTAAATTGCATCTTAGTTCAAGTGCTCATTTTCTCAACACATCTGTGCAGAGATGCAAATGACAATCACTAAGGAATAGCTTGTATTAATGTTCTTTTTATTGATTTCATGGTTTCTTTCTTTAAGGGCAGCACTGCGCTAATGTGATTCCATTTATTGAGAGAGTGTTTACTATGATTAATAACAGTGATCTAAAACTATCTAAATTTAGATAGGAGTTGTACATTGCTAAATACAAAACTACTTTCTTATTGTTCTAATTGTACTTTCTAATGTGTCCTCATGAAACTATTACAGTAATCAACAATATTTTAAAGTGGCAGAGATTGTCATACAATTTTGTGCAGTATTACACAAAAATTAATATATTTTAAAATCATGGATTTTTTAAAAAAAGAATTATAATTAAAGTGACTGAATTTTTCAGCCATATTTGCTTATATGTTTTTTTTAAAGGAGCTATCTATCTACCTAATGTTGCTGCTAGAGTAGAATAGAATAGAATAGAATAGAATAGAATAGAATAGAATAGAATAGAATAGAATAGAATAGAATA